TATGTGATTTGGATGTCTCCTCGATTATCTCTCATGCTAGTTGGGGGGGGGGGGGCGGAAGCCGGGTGGCACGATTAGTCGTGGCAGTACGCGCTACGCAGGAAGGGACGATGAGAGATTGGGCGTGGTAAGAACGCCATGGCTATACGGCATGGCAAGCTGGAAGGCCTGGCTATATGGTATGACGAGCTCGAAGACCACGGTTGTACGGTATGATGAGCTCGAATGCCACGGATATACCGTATGACAAGCTCGACACCACGATGCTATTTACGGTATGACAATCTCGAGGACAGTTGATTCACAAGCTCAGCACCAAGGGGACTAAACAAGGCCCTCCAGCAAAGTAAGGCACGCAACACAGGAGGGGCGCACAAGAACCCCCCCCCCCTTAAATAGAAGGGAGGTACAGGGAGATGTTTGAGGAATGGAATAGCCAGGAGAAGACGATAGCCGCACTGGGGCATAGGAAGTGGTTTGAAAAGGCGGGAAGTGATATAGTTAGGATAGATAGACTAGGGAAGAATTTTTGAGCCACCTTTGGCAAAGTAGGAAGAAACGATTGGCCATCGGTGATCGGTCCTGTGGGGACAATTCTCCGTCCTCTGGAGGACGGGTGGTCAATGGTCTAACCGCTAAGGCATGCAAAACATAAGAGTACGCCCCCCTCTCCGACTCATGAACATTTGATTCACACAGCACAGCTCAACACCACGGGGACTAAACAAGACCACCCAACAAAGTAAGGCAGGCAACAACAGGCACCCCCCCCCCTGGGGCGCGCGCGTGCGTACCCCCCCTCACCTCTCCGACTCCTCGAACGGCCCGGTGTAGCCCGTGCCGTCTCCGCCCACGCCGCCTTCCCACAGACTGATGCCTCCGGAACCCTCCTCCTCCGCTTCGTGCTCGGGTAGCTGCGGCATGTCCCTGAAGGCGGAGATTCATCGCAAGACGAATACAACAAGAACGAGAAAAAAAAAAAACTCAAGTCTTCCTGGTGGCGCTGGGTTGTGGCCACGGTATGTATGGCTGCTGTAAGCACCACCACACGGGAAGAGGAAGAAACGGACACACGCCTCCAAACATGTTAGGAAAACCCTCTCGCGTAGCGTATCATTCTCCCCTAGATGAACTCCACTCGCTGTCGGTACGGAGAGTAAACGCACACCCGGTGCCGCTGCCGCGACGTTTTCATACCGGTCGACTGAAGCCTCAATCAACCTGACAAAACCTATGCCTGTGCCAGCACGGAAGGTTCTCAACCGGGATTCCGGCTTGTGCGTCTTTTCTCGCCACAACCTTGGGGGGTTCTGTAAACGCGGTTCGTCGGGGATTAATTCGGCAGGCGGCAGGCGTTGCTCTGGCTGAAGACACAGGTGCGCCAACTCACGGTCTTGCGACTTCGAGCTTTATCCCTACCCCCTGTCCGGTACGCCCCAAACACCACCGCTGCATGCTGGCATGCTATCGTCCGCAAGTAAAACAACCACCGTCAGCTGTCACCAGCATGTACCGCGGCCGGCATATCCGGGCCAGGCATACACGGAACCCCACACCGCGACACCCAAATCCCCTGCAAACTGCAAACACCAACAGCAATACGCCCACTCCACCCCCACTACACCACAATGCCGGCATTTGTAAGACCGATTGAAGGGGTCATAAATAAATAAAAAAAACGCACACCAACCGAACAGTACCTGTTGAGAGAAGACGCCAGGGAGGTGACATTTCCCAGCAACGCCTCGTAGCCCTTCCGGCTCTCCTCCAAGTTTCTCTCCTTCTCCTCCGTCAGGGTGCCGTTCGTCAGGCGGTCCTTCTCCATCTTCTTCTCCAAGCGCCCCAGCTGCTCGTGACCCCGCTCCAGGTGAGAGCAAAGCGCGTCGAACACTCCGTCCACGAGGGACCTGGGTTTCCAAAAACGAGGCGTTTCAGAGACGGGGACGAGGGGAGAAATAATGTACGGGAGGGGGGTGGGCTCATGAGCAACACACGAACCGTTGGATTTCGAACATAGCCGCGCCAAGTGCGTAGGGAACGGAGCAAAGCACGAACAGCAACAGAAGCAGCCACGACGAGGCCATCACAAGTAGGTTCAGAGCAGCAACCTGATACCGTTGGTTGCGAGGATATCATACCCCATGTATCGATTTTTCAAAGCTCGACTACTCCATGACGCAGAGGATGCCACAGTCAAATTACGCGTTTTCTGAAAGCTCTCGACGAGACGGTTCCAACGCCGCCATTTTCGGCACCGTTAACTGCTGCTTCTACCGAGTAATCGAGCTTTGAAAATCGGTCCCAAGGGGTGTGATGTCTTACGTGTGCAACCCATGGTAATGGTGTAGCAGCGGTGGTTACTAAGCGGTTACATACCATACCTGAGGCGCCCCTTGACGTCCGCATCGACCACCGGTTCCCGCTCAAGCTTGCCCATCTCCCCCGCCAGCTTTAGCATGCCGGCCGTCTTGCGCTGCAAAACTCCGACCATGTCCTTCTCACCAACAGCGCGAACAGTCACGGAACAAGTTTGGCGCCGGTCAGTCAAACCCAACACGACAGTAGACCCCCTGAACGTAGACAAGCGATACGAGAACGACATTGCCGGACCAGCCACCCTCAATAAAAACGCCACGTAAAACGTGACCCCCCCCCCGCCTCTTCACCCCCTTATCCCCTTAAAAATGCTTTGTTTACCCACCTCTCCAGCCACCCTCAACCGAAGCGCCACAGATATCATGAAACCCTGTGCCTCCTCCCCCACCCGCGAATGCTTCAACCACCCACCTCTCCAGCCACCCGAAAAAAAAAAAAGCCATGTAGAGCATGACCCCACCCCCCTCGAGAATACTTAGGAAATACTGTATCATACTTCCAAGTACAATACACTGTTACCTCTCCGGCCGCCCGGACAAAGCCAGCGAGGAGGGTGACATCAGCCTCCCGCAAGGGGGGCGGCGCCGCGGTGACGGTCTGGTGGTCGGGCCGCCTGGCAGCATCACCCGGACCTGGCCGCTGCCGCCTGAAAAAAAAAGAAACAACGTCGTGGTTATCGTTGTTGTTGTCGCTGGTGTTGGTAAGGGGTGTGCTATACGACGCCAATAGAATTCATGCCAAGCTGTCCATCACAGGGGGTATGGACGGCGTAGGAGGAGACACTTGCTGTACAAAACGGGGGCAGGGTATGCTTTGTCTGACTGGTACAGCATGGCATTATGAGGTTGCAGTAAGGGGAGAGCGGGGTGAGCTTGCGACGGAAGATTGTATTGCTGTGCTGCTGGTGCTCACTTTCCGTCCTTGCCCTCCAGGCCGCACAGAGAGCGGACGATCCTGACGATGAGGCGGCTTCCGTCGAAAACGCCCGAAGCGTGCAACTCCGTCAACAGCCGTAGGTTCGACCTCCTGCCTCGGAAGTGGGACCACAAGCGTGTCATAGGGACGGAGAAAGCGGTAGCAATAGCAATAGCAGCAACAGCGGCAATAGCAGCATAGCACAATCGACAACACCAACGGAATAGTTCTGACGTGCTTTTACGTACGAGAGAACACAAGGCCTAAAAAGTGAGTGGCTAGATCATAGGGATGGCACTTTATTGTGCGAACAGACGATCAGACCGAACGCACCAACCGGTTCAGGGTTCGCAGCTACGAGTGCACACATGCCTCTGTGATGAGGCTGCCGCGCCGCCAGTACCGCAAAAGGGGACGCCCACATGTTCCGCGCTCCCCCAAACACTTATAATATCTCACGGCGGTACTGGATGCACTCAAGACAACACTGCAACATGTCGGAGCCCCTGTTACTTTTTCCTGGTCCCTCGTCGATTCTCTGCTACAAAAAATGCAGAACACCAATCTCTCCCCCAACAAAAACGTGCGCACTTTCGTCGTAGTAGCTCCTTCTCCTCTCGCTCTTCTTCCCCGCCCGGGGCCGACAGAAAGGGAGCCGCCAGCTTCGGGATCAGGTCCTCAGCAAACTCGGCGTACCTTCGAGAAAACACACGCGGGAGCACGAGGGGCATGGGGGGGCGCGCACGGGGTCAAGGAAGAGAGGACAGAAGCTGCGTAAGGTACGCGTGACGCGTAGGAAGGGCGTGCAGAGAAACAGAAACATGTCTTTTCCGTCCGACTGTCGTGTAACGCCTTGAAACATCTGGTTAAACCGAGGCAAGCAAGGTTCAACACCGCTGACATCTTGACCAGTAGTGCACTCTCCCCCCCAAGCCTGCACGTTATCCCGCTACTACAAGACCGATGACTTGTCATTGGCTACAGTAGCGCGGTCGATGCAAAAAACAAAAAAAAAACACCCACACACACACGCACCTCTGGTGCATGAGGAAGCACGGGTGCACGCCATACGGACTGACTTATTTTCATTGGTCAGCGCGGTCTATGACGCCAATCCCAAAACACACACACACACACAACACACCTCTGGTGCATGAGGCAGCACAGGTGCACGCTACAAAGACTGACTTATTTTCATTGCCAGCGTGGTCTATGACGCCAATCCCAAAACACACACACACACCTCTGGTGCATGAGGCAGCACAGGTGCACCGCCACCGAAACGTCGGCGTTCTTGAGCCTGTTCTCCGCCACGGCGTCGACCACCTCGCTCACGTAACGGTTAAGGTTGAGCGTCTCCACGTCCTTGGTAAGAGCAGACCTCTGGTCCTCCGACAGGGCCTTGACCTTCTTCGTGAAGGCGGTCGTCTTCTTCAGGTCGGACTTGAGCTTGGGCTTGTTGGCCTCGTGGGCGTCCCTCGACGCCTTCAGGGCCTCCGGCGTGTGCTTCTCCCGCAGCTCCCGCCTGCGAGTGTTCGTTTTTTTTTTATCGACCGGCGAGGGAGGAGGGGTTTGCGACATACCCGAGGGGCTAGAAAATGACCAGCCTCTTCGGGGATGCGGCGGAAATGGCGGGGGGGGGGGGCAGCTGTAAAAACCCATCGCATCACGCCCCCCTTTTCGTCACGACCCACAATATCCCGTATCGCCACCATCCGGACGGTTGCGACTCTTCGGTGGCATGACCGCGGCGACACCGCGTCACCGGCCAAAAAAAAAAAAGAAACAGGGTTGCCGTATTTGCCACCATACCACGGGAAGGTATGTATCATCAAGCTATCGCCTCACCTGGCTCGTTCCTCCTTCTGCAGCAAGTCTAGCTGGGACACCGCCTCCAGCTGGGCCTCGAACTCCCGCCTCACGCGCTCCTGTTCCTCCTCCTGGTGGTTGAGATAACACAATACATCCACAAACGAACCCGCGAAGGACAACTCAGCAAGCCCGCCCTCACGTGTGACGAGCGCGATGACTATCAAGTAGCCATGCAGCGACGATCGGATAGGCTGATGTATCCTCTCGTCTTCGAACGGACGTGGCAACCAACAACAAGGAGGTGTCACCACGTTTTTCACGTTCGATCAACGACCGAAGTGATGACATGTTTTTGACCATGGGTTTACACTCGTAATGGCAGGAAGTTCAGAACATTCGGCAAAATCTTTCCCACACAGAAGTTTCATTCGTTTGAGTAAGGAATAATTGAGTAGGGATATTGTTGCTGGTGTTCTCACCACCCAAATACTGCTGTATTGTCGGGTCTTATCCACGTGACCACCGCTGCATGTTTGTTTCAGCTTCCAACTCGAAAAAAACGATCGACGACATAAAGGAGCTCGATCCTGTTCAGCGCAATGACCTTACCATGATTGACACCACTATACCCTCACTGCACACGGACGGCCAAAAATGAACTCACAAAACGAGCCGCGTGTTGAGGCGCGCAGAAATTTCCGCGACCCCCCCTTGATTCCCCCCAACCAATGCCCCCTCGTCCTCTACCCTGTCCACGGCAGCCGCTGAGGCCCACGGCAAACCCCGGCCACTCGTAACAAAACACAGTGCTACCTTGCCCCCCCTCCCTCCTTCATGTCACCGCTGATTAATCTAAAACCGCCACCGCAATCTGAAAAAAGCCTTCCTGACCTTCTGCCGCCGCTCCTCTTCCGCCGCCTTTGCGGCCTCCCTCTCCGCCCTCTCGGCCGCCTTGCGCTCTTCCCTAGCCTTCCGCTCGGCCTCCTCCCTAGCCTTCCGGGCCTCGTCCGCGGCCTTCCGCCGCGCCTCTTCCGCCTTCCTTTTCTTCTCCTCCGCCTTCCTCTTGACCTCCGCGGCTTTCTTGTCCTCGATGTCTTTCCTGCGCGCCTCGGCTTCGGCCTGGGTTAAAAAACGATATACCGTGTTAGGGGTAGGTTGGGTGTGTGTGTGTGTGTGTGCTGTCCGCGGCCTGCCGGGCGGGGGATGTTGACAGTACAAATATGCTACCGTACAACAGAGGATATCCGAAGAACAATGTTCTTGTTGCGTGCATGAAGAATGTCGCAACCAACGCTTCAAAAGTGGTTCATCGCCACCATACATTCGCAACATGACGTTTGCGGTTGTAGTTCAGGCCGGTTTCGATGCGCAACGAAGTCAGCACACCCGACTGATTTGCCTCCGGCGGGGTCCCCTCACCAGCAGTTTTGGGGGGCGGATTGGGGCTTGAATGGCGAGCGATTGTTTCCCGCTGGCTCTGGCTCTGGTTGCTGTCCAAAGCATCGGCTTCGCGGACAAGCCGATGGACTGGAACCACCCATCACCTGTACCGATCCCCAGGTGTTGTATCTAATCGTTCCCTGCATTCTACCCATGCACAACCCGATTCAGCAAAATGGCCGATACACTTGCACACCAGCTAGGCGAAGGTTGCCTTTTCGACGTGTGGGGGCACCGCGAGTTCGAGAGCGGATCGCTACATATGCACACAACATCGTCACCTTGCGCTTCCGCTCTTTCTCCTCGGCCTCTCGCCGAGCGCGCTGCTCTTCGGCCGCCTTGCGGTCTTCCTCCGCCTTCCGCCGGCGCTCTTCCTCGGCCCTCTTTCGCGCCTCCTTCTGAGCGGCAAGCTGCTTCGCCGCCTCTCTCGACCTCTCTCCCTCTTCCTCCTTCATTTCCAAGGCAGGGTGAGGGGTGGGGGCTGGGTTAGAGACGAGCGTGGGTAGTCTGGTATCAGCTGCCAAGGCAGGTACAGTAGTGGGAGAGCATTTCAGCGCGTCCGCACAGCCCCGTGAATGTTTGGAACGGTCATGAGAGACTTGCGACAGCAGCCGTGAAGAGTCTCAAGTCGCAAGGTTAGGCCGGACGGGCCTCTCCTTCCACAACATGGGAGGAAATTCTCGACAACCACACACACGCCTACCGATGTCTAGGAGCACAGCCTGCAACAGCTCCCAATAAATATCACGGGAGCGACAACCCTGACTTGACGATGGATGCTTCGTTGAGGTCAGTCCTGAACAACTGAAGAACCGTATGGTGTGTCAACCAACGGTCTCACATCTCTGAGGTTGGCAGACTAACGAGAGGGCTCCTCAGAGCCCAAACAAAACCCCTCGATTGGATCAGGGGTCCACAGTACACACGAAGGCGAGAGCACACGCCTCCGTCACCGCTATGTGCCGATCGTCATCACCTCGGAGAGCTGCCGTGCGCCGGTACCCTTGCCAGAGGGTTTCCTCCCGCCCCCTCCTCGATCACCGCTGGTAGCCCCGTCTTTCTCCGGCTTGCCCCCCCGCGCGCTTGACGACAACGTCCCCTTGGCCGCGGCCGCCGCAGCTGCCGCGAAATTTCGCCGGCCACCCGTCGTCGTTGACGCCGCCGCCGCCCTCTCGCGGGCGGCGGCCGTGCTAGCACCACCGAGAGCCTTGCCCGACCTCTCTTGCTGCGTCGCCGTCGTCGCTGCTGTCTTGCCGCCGGTGTCCCGCCCGCCTGCGCCCTTCGCCCCGCGACCGGTACCGCGGCTGCCTCCGCCCCCGCTGGCACTGCCGCCCGCTCGACCTTTGGGGGTTGGCGCCGCGCTTGGTTGTGGCACCGCCGCCGCTGTGGGCGTTTTCGGGTCTGCTTTGGACTTTTTCTGCGCTGGGGCCAGGGCTTGGAGAGCCAGGAGGCCCGAGCCGGGCACAAGGCCGTCATCTCGCTTGCCGGCGGCGGTGGCCGCGGTGGCCGTTCCCGACTGTGGTGGTGGCGGCGGTGGCGGCCGAGCGGTGGCGGCCGCAGCCGTCGCTTCAGTCGTTGAGGGAGTCGAAGATGCGGGCTTCGAGGTTCGGTTGCTTCGGCTGCCCCGGGATGATTTGCTACCTCGCCCTCGGCTGCTGCTACTCCCGGCGGCGCCTTCTCCTCCTCCTCCTCCTCCTCCTCGTCCTCCTCCTCCACCTCTCCCTTTCCCCCCTCCTCGGCTTCTGCCTTCTCCTCCACCCGATGAGCTCATCGTGTGGGGAGTACGCGGACTGTCACCAGGTATAGCAGTACCTTCCGGCGGACGTCACAGTAGCTACCGGTGTGCCCAAGCGGGCTTGCGACCTTGATTCCCACCCCGTCGGTTCGCCGGAAAAACAAAGCAGCAGCAAGCTGGGGTGAAACATATGTTTAGAACCAGATAAGGGCTAGGGTATACAAGTAGTGAGTGCGCAAAATGGTAGTGCTGTTTTGGGACGTTCACCGATACGCCAAGGGTGTGTGACAGAGAACATGTTGGCGATGATGTAGGCGCTTCTGTGTTGAGGCCGCCCTGCTTTCCTGGCGAGGTCTATCGACCGTAACATCGAAACAAACTCATTGTGTCATTAGAAAATCGGAGCAGTTTCATCTGGACAGGTCGGCGGGGAAAATCACAATTATGATCCTGTTTTCGGCTTGTCTCGCTCTTCCTTTGGGTCCAACAACGCGCACCCCCTTACGGCATTGCAATCCTGTTCGGGCAGCCTCTTTTGGATACGTACGCATGGCAGCAGAACAGACAGCCCCTGGGTCATTCTTGTGTGGTCGCTTGGTTATATGCATACAAAACCACATGGGGCCAACGACAGGATGTCAGTTAGTTTCGGGGGCCCGTGACAGCGGTTTGGCACTCGATGCTCTCACGCACCACGCAAGGAGCGTTGCCAAGTCCGTGAGCTTTGTTCTTGCTTGTGAGAGCTACGTGTGAGCAGTGTAGTCCATCTTTCCGGCATGACCGCTATACTCGTCTAAGACCGCGTGCAACGTGGGTTCAAATCAGAGCCTCCCACAGGAGCTCGAATTCAGTCTGTCCATACCTAACTGGCAATCTGCAGCCGTCTGCCCCACCAAGGCTCTCAAAATGCCAATGAGGGTAATGTTGGAATTGTGTCGCGTGCAACACTCTTAATCCCGTCTCTTGCAGCGCTACTCAGTACCAGCGGAGATACGGCCGTGCGGAGCATCTACTCTGTTTGCACCAACATGTCAAACATAAGGGGGGGACACGCCCGAGTATCGTTGCCAGAACTTGAGACAATGAGGGGACTACTTTGGCGATATCATCGACGCCAGGACGCCGGATGGGGGGGCGATAAGCCTGCCACGCCTGACGGGATTCAAGTCAGTGTATTTGTTAAGAGGGTGAAGGACAGCCTCTGAAGCCAATTTGAGCGAGTTTTGAATCTGAAAGCTAACCTACACAGCAGTCAAGCTGGGGCCCGCAGGGCAGGCTCGTTTTCATGAACTTTGGAAACGTGGTAGATACAAGGCGTCCTCCGGTGCTGCGACAGCAACAAAGGGGTTACAGCAGGAGTGGTAACCGCCGTGTCGCTGCGGAAACCGCTGTGCCTCTCTGCCGGTTGATGTCACAGCGACAACAAGCTGGAGTGACGCCCTACATCTCATGCAAAGCACCGCACAAAATAATTCGAGGCGGACAAAAGCAGTTGCTTCCTTGCCCTGGGTGAAAGAGTCTCAACCGGATGGGGGTATTGGATGTCTTTGTTGCACACCCACTGCAGCAGTTTGACCATGGTACATAAGTTGTTGTAAGGAGCCTGCGAGCAACCAGTGAAGCTTCTCTCTGAACTTCGCCTTCAACCAACGGTGCTGTGAACATCGAAAAGACACAACACTTACCAGGATATCTGAAACCTACGTGCCAGGCAAGCACACGCAACGGTGCAAACATCGGCAACAGGTAACCGCCGCGCTACTCCCGACTGGAGACAGCGTACAGCAGCATACACTTTCGCCGTAGAACAGCCTGATGCGAGTGCACAATCCAAAAGATCAATCCAGCCAACTTCTTCCAGAAAGTCAACGTGGTTCGTATCCGACGCTTACCAAGGATATCACGTGTTGGATGTGTGCAAGGATCAAAGTATTGGCCACCAGATCCAGAGATAGCACAGCAGACAGAGAAGCGGGTTGTGGCGTGTGCGAGAGGTGGATGATGATGGGGTACCTGCTGCTGCGCTCTCTGGCTGCTGGACCTCCCCACCTCGCCCGTGCGTCCGCAGCTACCCCCCCTTACATCTAAAGTAGGATTCACGGAGCCCCCACCTCGTAAGAAAAGTGTAAAGTGAAGTGCTGGACGCACGCACGCCGTGCACAGCCAGCACCCTGAACGTTTCAAGGCCAGCGTGCGGGATCAACACCCCCCAATCCATCGCCCGCAGGTTTACCTTACTCTTCTTGAGTGCGTGAGGAGCATACTGTCTGTGTGACAGGCAGGCTCTCTCTCTCTTTGTCACTCTCTGTATCATCTCTGCCCGAACCAAGACTTGGGGTGTGTCCAGTAAGGCAGGTGTGTCGTGCGAGGCACGAGCGGATGGCTACCGAAGACCCCGGCAGCGGCGGCACAGCAGACTCATGCGCTGCAGGCGAGGGCCCGGGAACCAATCTCCTACGCACCGGAGAGTGCGGTAACTCCTTACATGATGCTGGCGCTAAAGACAGCGAGACCGCCGCAAGCTGCGCAAAGATTTCGGTGAGAGTCTGTGGGCTGTCCATCCGCGCCCCCTATCCTCCTGGGGATCGCTCTATTCTTGAAACATTGTGTGGTATGCGTAAAACGAATATAGAGGGGTGTCTCTTTCCCGAGCGCCTGCTGGTGTCTTAGGACGTGTCCTCGCACCAGCCTTCTTTTGGCATCACAGCAGTGATGAAGACAAGGTCTTTGGCAGATATCGTATGCATGATTGGTATTCAGGCAAAGTTGTCTACCGGAGTCTGCACCAACCACGCCACCCGAGGCTTTGTCTTTCTGACGTGTCCAGGCTTCGATGCCCAAATCTCTCCATGCCCCATGGTGGCAGCAGTGGGAGTTTGTATGTGTATACATATCGAGCATGAGATCACCCGCTCTAAACGGGTACAGTGGAAACCTGGAATGATCTTTTTGATGGCTCTGACGCCTTCCGTGTGTTCCACCACGAAGATTCGCAAACCGCTCGCGAAGTACCCACAGCCCACCACCCGACGACTCTTCTTTCTCCGTCGGATCAAATTATTTCCTCGTGCCAACGCGGTGGGTTATGCTGCTGACATGCCTTGAGGTCGAATTCCGCTGCGTTGCGCTGCTTTTTGTCCGAAATCATTGATGGCACCCGGTTGGATTGTTGGACAAGGTGATGGTGCATATCTTTTCTTCCAGTTCCGCTTGGTTGGAGACGAAACTATGTCATGGATTGTCCTCCTTCATTGTTCGCCACCTTATTTTTTTGTTTGCGGGACATATTCCGGCATGGCCGGCATCCCTCATTCATAGGAAAAGAATAACATTTGTCAGCTTACCTGGTAGAAAGTCTACGGATCTGTATTTACAACTACGCAGTTTTTTCTACCATATCGCGCAAACGTTGGAGAGCTATTTACTCGTGAAGCTGATGGGCTGACTAATCTCATCCACGCGCCCAGAAGCTTGCGCCAGTAGCCGAATGGGCTTCCGGGAGACACGTCGGCGTGTAGCAAGGGCAAACTGTGCAGCTTGTCTGACCCCATCTTCGTTCCCGATACTGGTGCCGTCGCCGTGTTACCAGCGCCCAGCACTGCCAGTTAAAAGCTCACGTGCACAAACTCGACATTGGCCCGCCCGCGGGTTGAGAGAACTAATGTGACGTTTTTGTCTCACCACTGCTGCTGCTTTCGATTGTGTGTTCTTCGCCCATAAGACCCCCCCCCCCCGCCGCCACCATTCCCTCCCCGATCATGCTTTGCCGCTATCGCCACCCTCTCCCCGCCATACCCAGGCTTCCGCTACGGATTCTTCCGCCCCTCCCCCGGCCGTCGACGCTCAATTGCCGGCGGGAGGAGAAGACGCCTCTGCCACCGTCCAAGGCAACGGCTCCGCTGCCACCCCAGAAGCGGAAACCCCACCAGAACAAAGCGAGCCACCGTCTCCCGCCGCCTCGGATGCCGTAACTCCTACCGCGAGACCCACCCGCGCAGCGGGGCAGGCCAACGCCGCCGATGATACCGCCGCGACGAAGACTCCGGCCACGCAAGGCACCGGGGAGGCGGGAAACGAGGCGGCCACGCTGGCACCCTCGCCATCGTCTTCGCCTCCCACACTTGCTGCTGCTACCCCCACGGAGGCGGCCCCCGCTGCCGTTTCGGGGAGTGCTCCGGCGGCGGAGGAGGATGGGGGTGACGCGGTGGAGATTTCGGCGGAGAGTCTCGGTACCGATAGTGTAGCTGGTTCCGTTGATAAAGAAGCTGCCGTGGAAACGGGAACGCAAGACGTGCCCGCGACGGAGTATGACGTAGCTCCTCAAGAACAGTCGCAGGTAGAAGTGCAAGAAGCGGCAGGCGGGGATGAGGTCGTTGCGGTAGAGGCAGCAGCGGCTGAGACTGACGTTGCCGAAGCAGCGGGTAGTCCTACTGAGAGCGTGGCTAGTGGGGTGGAGGAAGCCGTAGAGGTAGATGCAGAGGCACTGGCCGAAAACGAAGCTGTCGAAGAAGACGACGCTGGCACTGAAAAGGACGAGGTGGCCGAAGAAACCCAATCTGAAGGCGAAGATTCCGCCGAGGAAGCTGCTGTTGCCCAAGGAGAGGTGGCGACGGCGGGAGGAGAAGAAGAAGCAGCAGCGGCTGTGGAAGTGGAAGGAGGCGAGGCGGCGCCGGGAGAAGCAGCGGCTGCTGGAGAAGTGGAAGGAGAGAAAGCGGCGCCGGAAGGAGAAGCAGCAGCAGCTGCTGAAGGACGAGCAACGTTGGCCGAAGGAGGACCCTCAGTTGTAACGGCCACGAATGGAGTGCCTCCGGACGGCAGCGGAGGCGAGGCGCGGGATGACGCCAGGATGGAGGACGATGACGGGCAAGAGCTGGCGGGCGCGGCCGGCGAGCGTGAAGGAGCAGACGCTGCTGCACGGGCCGATGAGGAGGTTAAGAAGGAAGCGGTGGAGCCGAGCGGCGGCGGCGGCGCGGCGAAGAGAGACGGGGATGATGACGTTGTAGATCTTTCGTTGACGGCCATGGATGTAGACGAAGAGCAGCAGCAGGCCGAGTCGCCGGCAGCGGTTGCGGTAAGCGATGCTAAGGTAGACGACAAGATCGACCCCGATCCCACAATGCAAGTCGAAGAGGGTACCCCAGCGGCGGCGGCGCACGGTGCAGTTGACAGCAACGCAGGGGTGCCGCCGGAGGTAGAAAGTGGTGCGTCCAACTCGGAAAGTAACGACGCAGGTAAAGGTGGGGTTGGTACGCAGGGTGACGCTACCCCTCAGGGAAAGGCAGCCGTCGAGGGCAAGCCGTCGGTGTCAGAAGCGGAAACAGTTGGCACCCCGGTCAAAGAGGGCAAAGAAACGGGAGCGGCTACAAGTAAGAAGGAGGAGCCTGGCGCAAAGCTTCAAGCGGGAAAAGATGCCACCGCGGCGGCCGCCGCTGTTGCGTCGGAGGGAGCCGGAGACGAGGGAACCGGCGGTAAGACCAAGAAAAAGAAAAAGAAGGGCCAGGACGGAGGAGGCTCCGACAAGAAGAGCGAGAAGTCGGGGAGCGATGGCGGTGGCGGTAAGAAAGGGTCCAAGAAGTCCGAGGCCGGGTCGTCCTCCAAGTCGGAGGCCAAGAAGGCCGCCGCCAGCGACAACGACCAGTCCTCCTCCCAGGGGTCCCCGCGAGCCCACAAGGATAAGTCCGGCGGCAAGTCGTCCAAGTCTTCCAAGGGTTCCGGCAGCAAGCCGGACGGTGACAAGAAGAGCAGCAAGAAGAGCAGCAAAGGAGGCTCGTCCAAGAGCAAAGGCGACTCCAAGGCCAACCCCTCGGAGAAGGATAAGGACAAGTCCTCGAAGAGTAAGAAGGGAGAGAGCGGGCGTGACAAGTCTGGTCGCGAGGTGAGTTTTTTTGTCAGAGAGGTGAATATTTCGGTGTATGCGCCGAAATAGCTGCCTTGTCGCTTGTCGAGAGGAAAAAATGATGCATGATACACAGCCCCAATCACGGGGCCCATTCATGTTGACATGCCCCTGTTTGATCCCGGGCAGTTGGGCCCACCCCGCCCCTCAGAGACCGCAGCTTTCCTGACACAAGCGCGTTGTTTCACTCTATGCATACGTCGCCAAACGAAATCCTTTACATGCCGCCCCGCGGCGCACCCGAACCCACAGGCCGAGAAGCCCAGCAAGCGCATGCTTGCGATGGACCGCGTCGCCGCTACCGCCGGCAGCGGCAGCGGGCGCGCAGGCGCGCAGGACCGTTCTTTCGGGGGAAATTCACGGCGCGGGGCCCCCCAGGGGTACGCGGCCCAGGCCGCCGACGAGGGCTACGCTGCTCGCGCCGCCCCCTCTTCCGGAGGGAAGGGGCGCGAGCTTGACGACGGCGCCAGAGACTCGTCGTCCAGGAACCGCGACGAGTTCAAGGAGTACGCCCTGGCGGTGCGGAAGAGGGACCGGCGCGGGCGGGTGGACGAGCAGCCGGACCCGAGGGAGAGGGTCGGCGGGAGGTCACACCGCGGGAAGGATTATTCCCAGGTGAGTCGTATTCTGGGCGTTGGCAGCAGGTTTGCGGATTTTTTTTTGAAGTGGAAAGCGGGGACGTTATTTTGCGGTATCGTCCCGTTCTGCTGGCTTTCCATGCGTGTGTGCTGGCGTTGGGGGACTCGTTTCCACAGGTGCTTGGAACGGCAAATGCCCTCCTTTCGGTCGGTTGTCGTTGCGCTTTGCTGTATGCAGCGGCGGTCACGCCCTATGTGCGTTTAACCGGCTTCGGTTTTCTTGTCGACACGGGCCTGTTCGTTGGTCGACCATTGAAGCCCTCCTGCCATTGTTCTGCCGTTGAAATCCTCCTGCCGTTCGCTGTCGCTGTTACGCAGGACGTGCGGAGCAGCGCCGACGACAAGCCGATGTCGCGCTACCTGCCGGGCGACCTTCCCCCCAGCCGCCAGAGATCCTCTCTGGGCCACGGCTCCCCCGAGAGCGCGGCTCGGAGCCCCAGGGGGCGAGGGAGCAGCAGAGACAAGTATCGCCGCGGGGATTCCCCTTCTGGCTCTTCGTCCCGGAGGGGGCGGAGGGAGCCCTCGCCGCGGGGCGCCGGTGACCGCGGCGGCGGGCGCGGGGACAGGCGCGGCCGCGATTTCTCGCCCCCGTCGCGCGGGTCAGAGGGGGCCGCAGGCTGGGAACGCGGAGGGCGCGGGAAGCCCCAGCGTGGAGGGTCCCCCCGGAACAAGAAAGCTCGGTACCCGGGCGGCGAGGGGGGGGAGGGCGCGGAAGACTACGACTACGAGCGTTTCACCGGGGCGGCGTTGCACGAAGGGCACGAAGCCTTCGGCGGAGCGGGGGGCCCCGTGGAGGGGCCCGCTCGCCCCCGTCACCTGGAGAGGGACTACAAAGGCCCCGGCGGTAGGGGCGGCGGCGGCCGGGGCGGGGGCAGGGGGGGCCGGGGCAGGGGAGGGAGGGGCGACCACGACCCGATGGCGGAGCCCGGGTTCCCGTCGCCGTACGAGACAGGGGGGCCCGGTCGAGGACGCGGTCGCAGGGGCGACATGCCCGCTCCTGCCGGCCGCGTCGGCCGGGACGGGGGGAA